TGGACTCCAGTGCCTCGAACCTTCTCACAACCTCCTCGGATGTGAGCGGCGCCATGCGGTTTCCCCAAACCTGCAACAATACAGAAAAATCAGCCGTGTATACACAGCACTAAATTGTAAATTGTAGAATTGCGCTGAGAAGCACAATGGTACAACTAAACAAAAAACGGGAGTGTTTGTTGTGTTGTGTGTTGTTAAAACCCAGTAGTGCCGACCCAACCATGTGGCATGATGTTTACCGCAGACATGGCCAATTAAGGCTTTTTGTCTTTAATGGTAGCCTGCAAGAGCCTTGGTGGGTTTAGGGCGGGGCTTTTGGTGGTTTCGGGGCTGAGAGCGAACGAAGAAGAAAAAAAGTAGGGGTACGGAGCGCGAAAAGTAGTGGTTTGTGGCGGTTGGCCTAGAGAGTTAATTTGGAAGAGTTTGAGAGTTTAGGTGCTTTCCAGGAGGTTTGAGATGTCGGGAATCACTTGCTTAAGGCGGGTGATTCCAGGGGGGGTCTGCCATTAAACTTGTCGGGGTTTTGAATCGTTGGTTTGGGATAGTTTGGGTAAACGTGTCTTTTATGAGTGGGTTTGGGTGGTTTAGGACGCGAGTTTTGAAGTTTTCATGGAGCTTTGAGACGAACTGTTGTACGGTTTCGATTTGAAGGTTCGCGTGAATTTGTGAGTTACGGACGTACCAGGGGGGTCTTGTCATATTGCGGAGGATTTTGTTTTGGAAGATTTGAAGTTTACGTATGGTTATTTTGGAGGTTTGACTAATGATGGGGGCAGCGTAGCATATTTGCGACCTGATTACTTGCTTGTAGAGCCGAGTTTTGTTTTTCAGAGTAAGCTTACTTTTCTGGTTTAAGAGAGGGTAAAGGATGCCGGCTGTTTGGCTTCCTTTGGAGATTATTTTGTTAATGTGCTCAGCAAAGTTTAGTCTAGAATCAATGATAACGCCAAGATATTTGAGAGATTTATAAAAGGGGATTTCGGTGTTGTTGAGCATTAGTTTGGGTGTGTTAGTGGGAGGTCTTTGTTTCGAAATTATCATGGCTTTAGTTTTTTCTGCATTAATTTTGATTTTTCAGGTGTTCCACTCTTGAAAAATGTTTAAGTGCCGTTGGAGAGGGCCAATTAAGTATTTAATATTCCGATTGGAATAGTAAATGCAAGTATCGTCGGCAAATAGTGCTAGGTTGGTGGGGGGATTTTTTGGAGCATCAG